TGGGATTTTTAGCATGATAATCGGCAATTTGATTTTTTCTATCCCAGTTTATATAACCAATAGCACCATCGGGGTTAGTCTGATCGGCACCTCCACCAAAGCATGAATAGTAGTGCAGGTCCATGGCCACCTTGGTGAAACCCTGGCCCGGGTTCATAAAGCCTGTCCAATGAGACTCAGTGCCCGACTCGAAAGGGGTGATCAACGGGTTTAGCACTATGTGTGAGTCGGCCGAGTGTTTACGTACGGCAGCGTAGGCTCGCTTATAGTAATCTTGCAACTTACCGATGTCAATATGTGCTGGCTCATTGAGCAGACAGAAACCAAATAAGGCCTATTTCCCAGCGTATCTTTGAGCGTATAATTCCATAGAGTCTACAGTTTGGCCAATATTAGCAGGCTATTTGTCCCAGTTGATCTGTAGAATTATATTTAATAACCCAAACCTTTTAACTTTTGTTAAGATAATACTCACTTGACCAGGATGTTCAGCGGGCGATGAATGGTCATTGCCATTTTGAGATCCAGGTGCGGCGTGCATTCCCAGTAAGATACCGATACCGTACTTTTGACCCCATTCAAAAGCCTTATCAATGTAAGCCAGACCACCCACGTGATAATCAGTGGGTGCGATGTGGTAGTTTAGTTTGGCTTTACTCGCACCACCTTGCGGGTCGTAGATCTAAATGTGATATGTATAATTTACTATTATAATTATAATGTATAATTTATTCAAAATTTTATAATAATCTGACATGTTAAAAATATTAAGGTTTTTAATTTTGATATATTTAATGATAAATATAATGATAGATGATAAAATATACTGTAAGCCTGTATAGCGTAAGTTTATTTTTTGTTTTATAATAACTTACATTAAGGTTGAAATAAATCTATAAAATTATAAAATAATATTTATACAGTATTATCAAGAATTACTAGGTTAAATCATACCTGCCACCAACCAATAGGTATGCGTACAACATTGACACCATGTTTGGACATCTCAGCAAAGTCATTTTCAGTGATAAAAGTTGACCAATGTTTTTGTAAAACAGCAGGTGCTTTGTTACCCAGACATTTTTCAAGGAGGTAGCTGCCTCCTTGGGTGCCTTTGTTACAGCCATTGTCATCCCAGGGTTGGGGTGCCATCCATGACTCAATGACTAACCAACTGCCTAAATTGGACCCACGTACTTTTGTTTTACCTGATTTCACATCATTTAATCTATTTTTCTGACACTGACTCTGACAACAGATTTCATTCAATATTGCAAACAGCAAAACACTTTTCAATATGAGCGAGAACATATTGACAATGAATTACTATGAACAGGCTATTG